TCTCTTTGTTTCACTCTTCTGCAATTTAGGCTTTTTCTGGCACCAGCTCCTGGATTAGGAGGCTGACGGGGAGATGTTTCACCACCACTGTCCTTCCCATCTCCTAAAAACCTTAACGGCTAGCACGGGCTTTTTGCTGTGCCAGTCCCACCAAGTACGGACTTGGGATGAAGGGCTTGGGCATCCTTGGGCACAGGCTCCTCACCAGCCCCCTTAGACCGTCTTTCCCCCAAGACACACAGGGTTTAGCAGCCTGTGCCAGGCACTTGGGAACACCATGGGGTCTCCCGCATGTGGCGGCATCTCCCCAACACTGGGAATAGGCGGCAATGACCAATGCCCTCGGTTTCCAGCAGCAATTACAGCTGCCGGGAAATGCCACCTCCTAAGACTGGCTGGCAGGTTTCCGGCATGCTGGCATGCCCGGATTTGCAACGTCTTTCTTAGCTCCCTGGCTAGCTGTTAAGAAATGATTCAGCAAGAATGCTGGTCATGATTTTGGAGAGGTGACTGGAGGGTGGGATGCATTGGCCATCCCCCAGCAGCGGGAGGTTCCAGCAGCGTGCTGGGGGCAGACACCGCACCTCCAGTGAAATTCAACAGCGTCAGGGAAGATACAGGAGTGATAAACCACATCCCACATTGGGAAAAAACAGCATCATCCCACTGGAGACCCTCACCCAGCACCTTTCGTGTGATCTGGAAAAAGTCCTCTTCCATCACCTCCGCAAAGACCCCCAAACTCTGCAGGAATGTGCTGGCTCCTGGGAAAACCCCTGCACCCTCACTGACCCACGATGCTGGCTCCCTGCAAATGTCTCTTTTGGTGTTTCCTTGTTTTGCCCTAACGAGTTTGGTGCGTCCCCTCCCTCGTTAACAGTGGGAACAGCCAGTTCCTGGAGCCAGGCAAGAAATTTCCGCCTAGGCGTTCCGCATAGCCTTGCACAATTCCTGGGGTTATTGCCCCGAAGAAAATTTGAGGGTGTCACAAATCGTAGCTCAGGAAGAGTATAAAAGAGACCTCACCTCCACCACACCGTCACTGCTCCTGCCCACTCCTCTCCTCCCGTGCACCGCTGTCTGCAGAAGTCAGCCCCAGCACCGCTCGTGGGTAAGTAGGTCCTTGCCAAACGGTGGCTTCAGGCTTCGTGCTGCTGGAATGGCCACTGGGATGAGCCCGACCTCGCCAGACAGCCAGAGCCTGGCTGGGGCTCCCGGAGGAGAGGGCAGTCCTTCTCCTCCGATGGGGTTTAATGTTTTGCTGCCTGTCCCTTCCTAGCAAGATGAAAACCGACCTGGAGCTCGCCTTGGAGTGCGCCATCAACATCTACCACCAGTATGCCATTAAGTACCCCATAGATGACTACCTGAGCAAGACTGAGTTCTCAAAGCTGCTGAAGGAGACCGCCAAGCCCTTCCTCTACAACACCATGCCGGTAAGAGCCAAGTGTGGCCCAGCTCTCCTAACGCTGGTGAGAGCTTGCAGGAGTGGTGGCCTCCCTGGGGCATGGGTGTGGCCGAGAGCCTCCCAAAGGGGCGGGAGGGTTTTTCTAGGGTTTTCCTGAAACCTTGCTGGGCAAGCCTCGTGCTGTAGCTGTGGGCTGGCAGGGTGACCCTGAACCCCGCTGCGCTTCAGGCTGACTCTTTTTCACGTCTGTCCTGCTGCAGCCTAACATGACCACCGATGACTACATAAGCAAGCTCTTCGCCAGAGCAGACTGCAACCACGACGGTCGCCTGAAGTTCACAGAGTTCCTGACCACGCTGAATCTTGTAGTCATTGATGCTCACAATAGGTCCCACCAGCATTGTGGGAGCCATGACAAGCATCCAGATGCCGGTCACGGCCAGGACCACGGCCATGTTCCCAGCAAGTGAAGTGGTTCCCAGAGTGACTGTGCCCACGGGATTGTGCTCTTCCAGCAGCATCATCCCCTCCGTTTGTCCACAAGCACAGACAAACCTGTAACCAAAGCTTTGTCATCTGCTTCTGCCTATGACATTGAAATAAAATTTCTTTCTTCAAGCACCAAATGCATCTGTATTATGTGTCCTGTTGTCTCCAGGGAGGATGCAATATGCACCCAACCCATGGCTGTGGGGGGTTAAATGCAGATTAAGTTGGAGAAGCAATGGGAAAGGGAAGGCGGCATGAAGGGACCCTGCTCCCTGCACAGCGGGGAGCCAGGAGAGCGGTGCTGCTGGGTCCCAGCTGAGCAGCACAGGCTGCGTGGGCTCCCCATCCTGAAGCATATCAGACCCCGGCATGCTGCCACTGCCTTCCCGAGGCTCAGCGGGTTCCCTGCACAGGGTGGTTGGCCCCAGCTGACGACAGGGTGCATAGCACCCCATCACACTGGGGAGGTTCCTGGGTAGGGGCAGCCGGTGGCTGCACAAGAGCATCCTCAGTCCTGGTTCTCCCAGCGCCTCTTTGCACCATCTCCAGGACATGCCAGGGGTGAAGCACAGCCAGGGGCTGCTTCCCCAGGTGGCTGCCAAGACATGGCTCTGGAGCTGGGGGTACATGCAACGCTTTTGCAACCTGCAAAGCAACCAGCGCTTATCTTGCAAGCCCCAACACAGCAAAGAACAAGGCCGAGGGGCTCCGGAGAGCTGGTGTTAACTCTGCACAATAAAGTTGGATGTTTTCGTTAGCGTGGGGCAACAGTCCCCCCAGGTCACAGCACATTTACAAGCCACCACGGGCTCCTGGGGAACAGATACATGAGCGGAAAAGAGCTCCTGTGTCTGCCAGTGACTGTGCACTGAAGTGGGAAACCCTCAGGCTCAGGAGGCTCCAACATTTCCAACACCAGTTGAAACCAGAAGCCTGTCCCATGTGAAACCGAGCTGCGAAAGTAAGCATGGGGCTATTGCGTGGTTATTTGCACTCGATGACACAGGTGATCACTCTCTGGCTCCACAATTTTGCCATTGGGAAGCAGGCATTATTCACTATCGTGCCAGGGCACCCGGCTGTCACTTGGGCATCACTCCGCTTGTGAGGCTGGGCATTGCGAGCTGCCTCCCCCGCAGGTTTTGGGGAACACGGTTGGGAAAGATGGGAATTCGGAGCCCACAGGTCTGTCTGCGTGGGGACTACGCAAGTGCACAGGGCAAAAACCAGCCTCGGCCAATGCTTTGCAAGGCCAGCTGGGGAATGAGGATGCAGTTTTGGATTGTTGACAGTCCCTAATGAGTAGAGCAGGAAAACAAAAAAAGCAATGAAGTGAGTCAGGGTTACCAAAATAAAACTCATGCAACAGTTCTTGGTATTCCTCCCAGGGACATGCAAGAAGCATCCTCAAACAGGAATGGTTACCCTTTTGTTTTTCTGTTCCTACCCTGTTCCTGGAATCTATTGTCTTATTTTTACATCTTTTTATAGTCTCTTCGTTCTTCTAGTACCTGTTCTGCTAACGCAAGATGGGTGGCACAGAAGTGACTGTTGCAAAACACTTGCTAGTTAATGCTCCAGCCAGCAAAGACCCTGACCTCAGGTTTTCTTCTTGTTTTATGCCCAGTTTCCTCCACAAAGCTTCTGGAGCAAGAGGAAAGGTCCGGTACAAGTGATGTGGAAGCAGAAAGTAATGGAAAATACTCTGGAAAACAATTTATTAAAAGGCAGATGCTGCCTTCGTCTTTGCTAGTGTCCAACCTGGTAGTATTGTAGAAAACAGAGAGCTCACATTAAAAACAACCAAGGGACAAAGTTATTCATATCTCTCTGAAACAGCCCATCTTTCTTCTACGTCAAGCATGAGAGCACACAAAATTTTCAGCACATTGCAAGACTTGCAAGGTTTTGGCAAGTTCTGCCAAGACGGTCTTGACCTTTACGCTTACGTTGAGGTGTGACGGTACAGCCAGTGTTTTTCCCATTCTTTGCCCAGCACTTGAACAGCTCAGCCCTGTCAGAGGTGATGGTGGGGTGGAAGGACAGCATTTCCAAAGCCCGGTGGGTGCAACCAGGAACTATGTGCAGAGGTATGAGGTGGGGAGGGGTTCAGAAGTTCCTACCTTGCAATTTCCAGGTACGGGAAATGCTAATTCAAGCTGTTGCTTGCAGCAGGTGTGTCACTATCTCTGATGAAAGAAGACCCGAGACATGTATAAAAGGGCTGCCCAGGCTCTTGGATCACTGCAACAGACCCATCCTCTGCAAAGCCTTCTTGGAGACAAGGGTAAGTAACACTGCAATGGTTCTTGCAGGAAATAAGATGAGGGAGAAGCGATTTTGAATAGCATTTCATGCCATGCCTGTTTATTCCAGGGTGATGCTTTCCACTTGGGCCAGGGTAGGAGGCTGGTTTTGGCTACAACAAGACAAGCATAAATTAATGGCATTTCTGTGGCAATTTAGTGGAGCTGTAATTGTTTCTGCTGGCAAGGAGAGAGCCCTTCGGGGGTGTCATCTGCACGGTGGCACCCATCAGAGAGCAGGGTCTCTGTGCTCAGTGTCTGCAGTGGAAAGGGTTTGCAGCCCAAAGAGGAGAGAGAAATTCGCAGAGAGAGGAGGAGGTGGTCAGGCAGAGGCTGCAGCGGAGCCCGTACCTGAACTGTGCTCCCTGCCTTAAAGTCATCCTTGCTGTCCGTGGCACAGTACAGATACGTGACTACAGCCTGATGGGTTTGTCTAATTTGCCTGACAAATGCCTCCCGGTCAGTGAGAACAAGTCGCTTCTTGGGCAAAGCTAAAATTAGAGGTGGTTGGGTGATGCTGTAAAACGGCGATATTTCTAAAACCACTTATTACCCGCTCAGCACTGAGGAGCCACCGACTGCCCCTGGGCACACTGGGTGCTGCTGGCTTGCTCAGCCCCAATGAGACAGGGCTCCTGGTGGAGATCTGCTGCTACACTGGCGAGGTGCAGCGCAACCCGCCTTGGGGTGCCTGGGGTGGGGGCCAAGAGCGTGGCGTGGGGTGCGTGATTTTTGATGCATCTCATGGCTTTAAGATTTCTCCACGCAGTTTCTGCAGGTACCTCAAGAGCTCAGCCATGTCTGCAAGAAGCCAGACCACAACCACCCTTCCCGAGACCCGGCAGTTCCCTGGAAACTGCACACTGGAGATGGCCCTGAACACCATTGTGCACGTCTACCACCGTTACAGCATCCGGGAGGGCCAGCATGACGTCCTCAGCTTCAACGACTTCAAGACGCTGCTGACTGAGCAGGCACCAACCTTCCTGCAAGCTTGTGTGAGTGCCACAGGAGCTGTGTTGTGCTCCCCGGAGGGGTGCTCTCCTTGGGGGGTTGGGGGGGGGGGGATGAGGCTGAGGTTGCCTCCAGGGATGCTCCTGGGGGAACGGGGTGCAGTCCCCTCCAAGGGCTGTTGGTCCACAGAATGGGTTTCTGTGATCAGACCCAGCTTGTCCATGTGCTGTGGGACCATCCACACTCATCCCTCCTGCCACTGCAAGGGTACGGAGCAGCCAAAGGGGCTTGGGACAAGAGCCTGTCCATCTGGGGTTTTAACTAGGGGCTAACTGCAAGGTAGGAGAGGGTCACAATGATCTCGCAGCTTCCAAACACTTCCCAGGTCATACAAGGCTGGCCCGGTTTCCACCAGTGGGAGTGCAGCCTAGGGAGGGGGCATGCTAACAGATGTCCTGTCCCCCAATTTCAGGGCAGGAACCATTGCGACTACCTGAGCAATCTCTTCAGAGAAACAGACTTAAATCAGGACAAAGAGCTGACTTTCGAGGAGTTCACCATCGTCTTGGCCAAGCTGACCGATGATGCCCATCGCATCAGCCACGGGGATGACCGCTGTACACCAGACAAGGATTGAGTCTCAATGCACGACCCATGAAAAACTCAGAGGGGGTTGCTTATAGGAATTGGGCTCTGGCTGCTTTCTGTCTGCTTGGATCACTCACGCTTGTGAGACAATAAAGCATCACTTGAAGTTCACTGAGTCCTTCCTATCTCAGCACTCCCTTTTGCATCCATCTCATGGTTGGGGAGGGTGGCCACCAGCTGCAGTGAATGCACAGTCCTGCTGGAGCTGTGGGATAAAGGCTTGCCTAGATGAGACACCCCAAAAACCCATAAAGGAAGAGGCTTATGATCGAGGTGTGGTGAGTGGGCAAGAGCTGTATTGCTCAGCGTCTGGTCCAAGCAGAGAGGGCTGGACTGATGGGCTAGGAGGGTATTAATGGCCAGAAGACCAGCGCAAGACACTGCCTGAGCTCTGCAGGGGTTTTAACCACCAGCTGCAACATACAGCAGTTGTATTAGAGGTTTTTCTCCTGGCAGAGGAAGTTTTCTGCATAGACTGGGAAGAGCAGAGCCAGCCTAGCTTAGGGAAGCACCTCCTGTTTTGCCCATCCTCATCCAGCTTTTTCCCCATGGCCACGCCAAGTGCGTCCTCTGGATGCAGAATCACCCGTGAGCAGGAAAAATGCATTAATACCCATGACAACAGCAGTTCACAACACAACACAGCCTTTACCACAAGAACAAGCCAGGGTGCTCTTAGGAAAAAAAATACACACAGAAGTTACTATCTGTATATATAGCTTCTAGTCCGTGGGAAATTCTGAGATTTAAAATTTTCTCCCTAAATCCCAATGAAAACTCAAATTTCAGAGTTTTCCCACACAGACAAGTCATCCGGAGTGCTCCCTCCCAACCCTGCTGAATCACTTGCTACCCAGCCAAGATGAAACACCCAGATGGTTTCCATCTCAGAGTTTTCCACCAGTGAAATATTCTCACCAAAACCCTGATGGGCTCCAGCGGAGCACAAGGATCTTGTCCCTGGCTGAGCCATCTGGGAGATGTCTCGCAGCACCAACAAGCCATTTCTGAATACTAAATACACTGTAAACCAGCTTTTTTCCTCACCAAACGTTCAGGTACCTCAGCCCCATGGGGCTGAGCAGGCAGCTGCCCCAGCACGAGCGAGAGCAACACTTTGCACGTTGCAGCACAGGCAGGAAGGGCAGGTGCAATGGCCAGATCCAGCCCTGCAACCTGCCAGAGCTCCAGGAGGGCTTGGAGAGGGTCCAGCACCCTGCAGCAGTTGTACCATGCCTGGGCGGGCAGCAGAGCTGGCTCTCAGCTCTCTTTGGGCTGGACCAAGGTGGTACCTGCCAAGCAGCTGAGTTTGTAGCTGTTTGATATGGCTGAGACATATGTGAATGCTTTTTGGCTCGAGCTAAAGGACTGGGAAATCCTTTCTTCTGCAGCTCCAGGATGGGAAAACCTCTAGGCTGCCCCAGCTCCTGTGGTGGCTGCACATGCCAGGTCGCAGGTGGATCATCACTGGTCTGATGATGTTCAAAGGTGCTCAGAAGCCAGGGCTCAGAGTGTGTCCCCCTGGTTTCCCCAAGCTAAAACCATGTCTAGCAACCAGAACATATGTCCTATCCTGATCCTGGGCTAAAATCTGCTGTGAAACCACAGCAAACCACATAGTGACAAACCCTGCCATGCCCTCTTCCCACATCAGCCAGTCACTTGCCTGTAAATGTATATTTTGAAAGAGTTTTGCAATGATTGTCAAGCATGGGGTGCCCCGCCAGGGCTCAGGTCCTCAGGGCACAACCAAGCCCAGTCACCCCGAACCACATCTTTCACTTGCCACGGCTACTGGGCTGCTTGCGCACCACCTGACGCCTGCTTCCCACTCCTTCCCCTCTGCAGCTCCAGCAAGTGGCTGCTTGCTCAACCCCAGTGGCCTCAGGGCCAGGATTGCAGCTTGCTGCAGTCACTTCAGCATGGCTTACAGGCATGGCTGGACAGGGAGGCTCCCCCTGCAAGGAGACCTGCAGAGCCAGGCAAAAAGTTGTGCTAGCACATGTTCCTGTGACCCTAAGCGATACCCAGGCTCCCTGGTCACCTTAGTGACTGCACCGGCATTCAAAAACTAAATACCTGGGGTCTCATCCCTGCTGCCTGGTAGGCACATCTGAGGGTGTAGCCACCATCCCTCTTTGGAAATCCCTGGCCCATCGCATACCCTGTAATCCATCCTTGCCCTTCCCTACCTCGGGGATGATAAAATGACCAAAAGTACGGTTTCCTGAAATTGCTACAAAAATTCTGCAACTGAGCGGATGGTCCCTGACACCCTGTTGTGAAACACCCTGGCCCTTCTCCAGCAGTTTCATGCATTAAAGCACTCCTGTTGTGAAATGCAGCGCACCCCCACCAGTGAGGGCTGGGATCCGGGTGGCCACTGCGTGTGGACCAGGGCTGCATCTCCAAGCAGCTCCCTGCATGGTGCTGCTCCATGTCAGCTTGTCTGGAGCTCCTGGAGCTTGCCCCAGGCCTGTCCATGGCCCTGTTTTGGCCTCCACTTTGTGTCTAAGATTAGTATCATGTTTGGCAGGTTAAACAAACCCCCCCCAAACAGGTCAGCTGAATCAGCAGGCAGAGCATTTTAATGAAGAAGCACTGGAAAATCTCGTTTTGCTCCTGATCTTAGCTGCTCTGAGCCAAAGCACCCGCGCTGGGTCTCTGCAACACTTGAGAAACAATAAAGAAAAAGAAGCTACAAGGTGAGGACACAGTCCTAAGAAGTGAAAATCCACCTGTCAGCCACACCTGGTCTCCACAGCTCAGAGCATACCTTGGGTGGGGAGAAACCACCCTTGGCACAGGCTGTTGCTAACCTGAGGAGATGAAATGAAGTTCCTGGAGACCAGCGAGGTTGGGAACCCACCCTGTATTACTTGTCTTTCATAAAGACCTGCTTGCTGCAGGCAGGAGATGGTCCCCCAGTGCTGGGGCACTGCCCTCAGCACCAGCTCTGTCCCTATCCCTCTGTCCCACAGGCAACCCTGACCACGCTGTCAGTGCTGGGCTGCGTGAAGCAGTGGGATGCTTTTGGGTGCACCAGGTCTGCAAGGATGGGGATGCTATGGGGTCCAAGCAGTGCTGGCTCATTGGAGAAGTGCAGGCATGATGCTGTGGGTCCCCTTTGCCTCGTGGCATGAAAAGACACCCCTGTGGAGGAGAGGAGAACAGGTGAAATTGAAGAAGCCGAGGGGAATGGACTTCTATCGAGAGTTGATGGAGAATTGCAGCCCCAATAGCAAGGTGGAGGGGGTAAAGGGGATATGGCCGTGCCCCGGCCACCTCCCTGCCACCCAGCCAGAGTACATGACACGCCAACCTTGCGGGAAAAACCACAGAGACCCCTTTTAAGGAACTACCCCAGAGCCTTAAGCAATGCACAAGTATGTCATGAAGATGGACTGGAATTGGATGAAACAGAGACATTTCACAACTGCTGGAGTGGCGCAGGCGGATGGCCAGGCTATAAGAGATGCCGCGCTTAGGACCAACCCTGCTCCAGCCCGAGTGGATCTCACTACTTCGTCAAGATGAGCAAGGCAAGTCCAATGGTGACTCAGGCATTTAAGGTCTCCATGCTCTTTTCCAGGTGCCGGTTGGGCCATCGGAGGTGCAAGGACCCCCGGGGAGACTCTCCTCACCGTGTGAGCTGCCATGAGTTGCTGGCAGAGGATAACCATCTCCGCTCAGGCTCATCCAAGCACAACCCACAAGGAGAGATGTCTCCTCCTGGAAGAGGCTCCCCACAGCACAGTCGGACCACCAAAGGGGCTCCTGGACATCAGATCTCATACTCTGTATCTCTACAGAGGTTTTTGCAGCGCTGCCAGCTATTTTGGGAGCCTTGCTCCAACAGTGCTTGGCTTACAGAAGGCACATTTTTTGGGGAAATCAGCTCTCAGCTATTATCTGTAGTTGCACATCCCAGAGCAGAAACAGGCAAAGCTGCTACCCCCTTCAGTCTCCTTTGGCTTGTAGATAAGAGCAAACTCAAAACAAACAGCTCAAATTTATCCCCAAAAAAGAATGACTGAACAAAGTCAGGCTGCATCCTCATCTGGTGTGAAGCAGGTGGCTGTATCGGAGTCTTGCTGGTTTACATCAGACTTCCCCATCTATTGTGGCTCCTGACATTATTCAGTGGAATTGCTTCTTTTCCAGACCCCCCAGACCCGCGAACCGCGCTCTGAGCTGGAGAAAGCCATGGATATCATCATTGATGTCTTCCATCAGTACTCGAGGCGGGAGGGGAACAGAGACACCCTGACCAAGATGGAGCTGAAGCTCCTGATTGAGCAGCAGCTTGTGAACTACCTGAAGGTGAGTGGAGTTTCTCATGACCCATGAGAAACTGGGAGGGGGCTGGGCTGGACCGGACCCCATTGCCTGCATGCCCCCAGAGACTGGATTCACTCCCTTCCCACCCTACTCTCCCACCCCAACACCTTCTGCCCAGACCCTCCCTGTCCAACTGCCACTTTCCAAACATGCTCCATAAAGACAGATGAAGGAAACCCACCCAGGTCCGGGTGAACCTGCAGCCAGATATTTACCCTCATCCCCTTATCTTCAAAAAGAAATCAGGATCATATTGCCTGAGAGCTCCTCTGCCATCTAGGAGCAACGATGTCAGAAACATCAGCGAAAAAGCCCATTTTTTTTGTAACTCACTTTGCTAAAGCAGAAGGTAAAGTGTTTTTAATCCAACATGTTAAAGGAGAGGTTTGTGGCTGACATAACACTGCTGCCTTCATCGGTCTCCACGTTGCATGGTGTCCTTGCAGTGATGCAAGCCCGTTGCTCTCCGATTGCTTCATCGCCATGGGTGAATCAGTGAATCATTGCTGTACCCAAAGCAAGGGGTGATGATGGCACGAGGATGGAGCCACACACAGCACCAGACTATTGGGGGCCCAGCAGCTGTGAGGGTCTCAGAGAAGCCAGGGGGAGGCTTGAGCTGTGAATGACAGGACTTTGCCCTCACCC